TTGAGTGGCTCATAAAAATGATGAATGGTGCAAACACTAAGAGCAGTGAGCATGACAAGTACCACGCTTATGTCACACTCTGCTCCTCTTGCATGCTACTGCCTTTTCCGTGCAGTGTGGCTTGCATCAGAGCCGGCTAATGATTCGTTTAATCCAAATGTTGTGATCAACAAATTCAAAAAACAGTTGGTTTTATGTGCTCTCAGATGATGAAATGCACAAGATAATACATGAAAGTTTCAAGTAAGCTAGCCTCCCACAGACAGTGTGACTAAAAGTCCTAGCAGTCCTAATCAAGACATCTCCAGCTATGTTACTATGCAGAGTAATAATAAAATAAAAATAATCTTCCATGCAATTTTTCTCCGCCCTTATCCTTTGCGCTCCCTGCTCCATTAACCATCTCTGCTGCTGAGGAGTCCTGTCGCGCAGCATGCGTGTTTGACCCGGTATTTCACTGGCTCGGCTCGTGTCAGGGTCGGGTCTCGTGTTCGTGGCACCAGCAGTCGCACGGCGTTTGGTCGGGTGTCACTCGGCTCCTCTGGTCCTGTTCTGCTCTCAATCATTCCCTCAGCAGAGAGGTCAGCCTTGATTCCTTCCTGGCCTATATCCGACTCAGTGGGGGCTCCAGACTCATCTGCTCACCAGCCCAATCTCTACGCTTGCAAAATGTACATTTCAGCAGTGTCAAAGCAGGGACACAGTCACTTTTGAGAAGACATTTCTTCCACATTTGAGACTTGAGTATTTTCTGACTGAGCCCCATGTTTCAGGTTTTTTGGAGAAACAGATAACAGGGTTCTTATAGTGCGTATGAATTAATGTATGAGGATAGTTTTGGGAAAGCCCAATAGAAACCAAATGTGTTTCCCTGCATTCAACATGTGGTGGTCTGTTGATTCTGATTTCCATTTCAGTGAATATCTGGCCCTGCGTTTCCCTTCTTTTGCATCCCTGTGATGTTCGGTGACAATTAACATCCCAACTCTTTCTCGAGGTTTGTTGAAAGCTCAGGGGCTAATTCAAGGGTCAAGCAAGACTTGCAAGCTGTCAGTCTCTCATTGTAACTCGTGTCCCACTCCCCCACTCAGGTTCTTTATTCCGGCTCCCCCTCCATTCTCCCAGACCTCGTTTTGTAGAATGGCCCAACTCTTCTTCTATTCTCCTGTGGCCCTCTAACAGCTAGAGAGGGACAACCAGGAGCTTTGTCTAAAAAGCCCAGCATTCTTTCACATCTGCCTCTTGTTTTCAGACCCCCACTGCATTTAAATTTCAAACTGTCCTTTTCAATCAATCCTCTCTCCCTCCCTTCTAATAACCCCCTTCCTCCCAGTCACTAAGCCCTTTTATTTCTTTTTTTCCTAAGAGGACCAACTGCTCCTGCAATTCCTAATTTTGTCACACAGTTGTTGATTATAAAGCATTCTGTTGTATTGCCCGTATATCAAGCACACATATGTTTAAAGCCTCTGGGCTCACGCCCCTGTGGCTTTTACATTTTTCAGAGTACTTAAACATCTGTCTGCAGTGGCTTCACGTTTAGCCCAAGCACTGCGATGCTTGTTGACATTTTAGCAATCTGTGCTTAAAAATCACAGAAGACCGCTACGGTCGTGCATTTCGTGAAGTCGAAGGACCCGCGTCGACAGCGGCGCTCGTCATCTGTGCATCTCTGCGTATCGAGTCCAAACTTCCAGCACGACGCAGCGGCGGCGTTATAGAGATGCTCAAACCTGCTCTGAGATCACACCAGAGTCGAGGGCTATTTGAGAAAATGGTCAAAATGAAATCACCGGCAGTTTCCGTTACAAGGCGAAGAGAGGGAAAAGAAACCCCCAGCTGAGAGGGGAGACCTCAGCCTGTTTAATGAGGAGAACGGCAGTCTGCAGTCTTCCTGCAGCCTGCGCCTTTGGTGTCTCAGCATGTTAAGCACTCACAGCATGATACAAAATATATTAAAGTATAGGACTGTTATCGTCGATTTACAGAACATCCGTCCCCGTGTACCGCGGATCTACAGTCGTCCTTTTTTTCTTTTCCTTTTGTGGCAGGGGGTCTACGCTGCCTTCAAGGCAAAGTGTTTAAAGGCATCCCGTCTTTGTCTTAGCATTCTGACACAGGGCGTGTGAGCGCGCTGCCTCCCTTTTTTTACACTAAGCAATGATGACAAGGAAGGAAGAATAAATCATATTGAGACCAGCCTGTTTACATACACAAACAGCCTCAGCCATGAAGAAGACACGCATCCACCGAAATGCATGTTTTAACCTATTTTGACCATAAAGTTTGGCATAAAGTGTCGACTCGAGCTATAACAGTTTAGTTAGACCTGATTTGGCTTAAACGATCACTCGATACGTTTGTTGGTGCATCAGCTAATAAAGCAACTGTAAAGGGGAAAAATGACTACTTCACCATGGGAAGCCAATAGACCGGTTATCGAAACGAACACGTTAAGTAGGTCACAGCGTCTTGTCAAGGATGTAAGCTGAGCAGGACTAGTGCACATACATCCAGTAGCTTCTGTTTCCCCAGTCTGGTGCGCACACAGAGTGAACCTGGTGCAAAGTGAGGCTACATTTGTTGACAATGGCATGTGATGACAAGAGCGGAAGCTAATTTTTAACAGATTTCGTTTTTTCCAGCTAACGCCTCCAGGGTTAGAGCCTGAATGAATGCCGCCTTCTCCATGTGCAGATATTCCTCTTGAACTATATTTTGCTGTTAAACGCTAAAACACAAGAGTAAATAACGAATGATCCTGTTAAGGAGCCTAATTTTGTTAAACTGTTCATTTCATCTGAGTGTTCATACTGTATTAGTTTTAAGGACAGATTAAAGTCATCCACCGCTCAACACACGTAGATGTCTTTTGGCAAAAGTGGACAAACCAGTAGCCGATGAGGCTAAGATGAAGCTAATATGGTCACTATCCACCAGCTTTATTGTTAGACGATCAGCTCAAGAGCTGATTACGCCGTACGTTTGGACCTTGACTTTACAGGCTGATTATGTGTCGCCACTCACCTGATAAATTGAATTGGTGCCATGTGGACTGAAGAAAAAAAAAGGGTCAGAGTTTTATTGGAATCCAACATGTTTGATCAACTTTCATTTGTTAAGCCTCATGACTGCATATTATTCCATTGAAACTAAATACCCGGTGGCTGTGTGTGTTCTGCTCCTGTTAACCTCTTTTAAATGGCTCTAAAATTAGAGGTCTCAGGTGAGGCACAATGTCATACTAGATGAGCTGATTATGGCAGGTTTAATTATAACTTTGTTGGCTAATGTGTGTGCTCTGCATGTTTTCTCGGTGATAAATTATTACACTGTCTGAGAACTCAGACAAAATAGATCAAAGACCTTTCGGGCCGCGGATATTCTCCAGTGTGGAGGAGGCAGCTGAAGACGGGTTTTGCAGCTCTGACTGTACATGACAAACAAAATTCCTCACGGTCTTTTCTTGTTAGCTGCAAGTATAACGGATAACATCCAGTCCTTTGAATCTTAACTAACAATTGCAGGCTGAAGACTCGGAAAGAAAAAAATGGAACTGTGTTTTTGAATGTGCTAAAAAAGAAAAAAACTGTTTCTAATGGGGTCCTATGAGCCTTGTTGCCAGAGTGATGCCATATCCCATGGTGAATGTGCTAATGGTCCATGGGAGTGAGAGGATTGAGCTTAGCCCAGCAGTGTAAACACACAGACAAAAGGGAGCCGTTAGTTCTGTGAAACGCATGCCTGGGCGCGCAGGTAGGCATTAGGTTTCACCCTACACAGCTTCAACGCTGTATCTGTGGCGGGGAGGAGGCCATTTGCTTTTGTAGCGAAAGAGAGCAAAACAAACATTCAGACTCGCACAACAGAGACAGGCATGGATGGGCTGGGGAGACAGGAATTTTGGTTTGGAGAGATGTAAGGGACTGGGGGGGGGGCTGGAGAGATAAGGTGGTTTGTGGTCAGTCACAACACAGAGAAGTGACCATTTGCTTGGTAGTGTTTGTTTGTTTGTCTGGGGGTCATAAAATATCACTCAAACAGAAGTAGAGCTCCGCTTGGATACAAGTGAGATTCCAGTAGTGCATCCCCGGCCAAAAGTAGCTTCATTACTGCTACATTTTTACGTAAAATGCGTGTTGCTGATCGTTTCGTTACGTGTGCAACCTTCCTAAAAATAACCGGATGTGAAAACAGCTCCCATATGTAAGAAAACTACCTCTGAAATGGACAATAACAACAATGACAATGCAAAGCAAGCTGCACGGAAAGCTTTTTGGCTGATGCTATCCGGGCTATTATCATTAATATTTCTAGCACTAAATGTTACTGTCATTTACTTTAGCATTTCCACCACGTGGCTGTAGCGTTTTACTCCGTGTCAGGACGCGCTGCAGCTCTTACAACAGAGCTTTTACTCGGTCGGCGAGATGCTTTTGGTGTTATAAAGGTGCTACGTTTTAGCACATCAAAGTGATGTCACGTGAGACAGAGGCCCAAAAAAAAAGGGATTTTAAAGGGGTTTAAACAATGTTCAAAAGGCATAAATGTGTTCTGTGGAACAGGAACAGAAAATACAAGTTGACACAGTTTTGATAAGGTTAGCATCGCTAAAGGTCTTGAGAAGGTAGAAGGTGGACAGGGCGGGATCCGTCTTTTTGATCACGGTGCTGATCCCACTCAGCCCCCCCTCGGCTTACACACACACAACGATTCACCCCCACCCCTCCCTGCTGGGGAAATAGTTAGCATTGAGCTGCCATCAAGGGATTTCCCTTTGCAGGATTATTGAACTTCTGGGCTTATTTTAGTGGCTTGCACGGGGTTTGTGGCATTTCACAGTTGTCACATTTCTGCAGCGGGATGTATATGCAGCATCAAGTGCCTTGTGACATGAGTGTTACAGGATGAATTCCACTGTGAAATCACACAAGGACAGAGCTCGCACGTTGAATTATTATCACTGCTGAAGGGAATGTCTTTTTTTGTGTTCTCTGCAGGTTAGAGGATCAATGATGAGCATCTCTGAGACCACTTGGCTTGGACTTTTCTAATCAGAACCTGTTAGTCACAACACAAATCTGCCACACAACATCAACACCTGGCACCATGTCTTGCTCCCTGTGGAAACTACCCACTTTCTGCTGGTTTCTCATCACTCTAGCCCAAGTACACTCCACAGAGGGTAAGTAGCTCCTCTTGCTTTCGTCAAAAACATACTGCTAGTTTTTTTTTGATAGCGTCTTTTGAAAAAGTGTGTTGTTGTTTTTTTTCAGGCTCACATAAAAAACTTATTTTTTTAATGCTATTGTTTTCTACTGCATATAGCATAAGCAGTTACATTGTGGCTGAAGCCAAATCTGCTCTCTGAGTGCAGCCACTGCTTGTGTAAGTAATGCAGCTTGGAGGACAGTGGGCACAGGCGGATGGGGGATAATCTTGAGTGGTTTCATTAGTTGGTAAATTGTGATTTGTCTGAGATTTTCTGCTTGAAAGCGTCAGTTGTTCCCAGTGGCATCAGAGCTGGATCCATTTTTAAATTCCTCACTAAAATGTTCTGTCTCATGGCAGGCAGGCACACAGATTTCACACCTCAAAAAATATAAAGCTTGAATGTGTTTTAATCATACTGCATTAAGTTTTGATTAAATCACTCTCAGCTGTATCGTAATTACAAGATTTATGCGTCCAAGCCTTATCTCATAAACTGTATCCTCTACTTATTAGTGTTTAATCGCAAGACTAGAGGTGCTTTACTTTAGACGTTTGATTATTGGATTTAAAATAAAGCGAGGTTGGCATCTTTTTCGTGCAGTATAAGATGAGTCTTTACAGATTTTGCTTCACTGCTGCCAACTGTTTTAAGATCTCGCCAACTGTTCGCTATACCTGCTTTATTACTTCTTAAAAAACTTAATAATGTAGGATTACTCATTCAAGTTTTCAAGGTAATGATTTCTCAAGATTCATTTACACTGTAGCAGGTCACACTGGCACGATGTGCTTTACCATATGGTCTTCTCATGTATCACCTGGGTTCAATTTGATCTTTCATGTAAGAAATGTGAAACCGTATGGGAAACAGTCGGGGAAACGACTGCACTGTCTTTACATGCACGCACATACAAATCTATATGTTTTCCTCAAATATTGGCACTTTACTAAACCCCAATTCTGAACCTCGGGCAAAGAGCAATTACGAGACTCGTGTATATACACGTTAATCTATTTAGGAAAACCTCAGAGGTTTTCCTATCCATGTTGCGTTGCCTCTGGTGTTTACCGGGTGCTCCACAAAATTCAGTCAGCAGGGTTTGCAATAAATCTTGTCGATAGACTAATGGTTTTTTAAGACACATCTGCTGCAACAGTGCGAAGGAGTGAACTGCATGTGCTGCGTGAGTCCACTCTGGCAGAAGAGACAGACATGACGATGTGTCCAGAATCGGGGAGGAGAACGGGTTCAAAAACACATAAATAGCCCCGTTCATTAATAACATGGCATTTGTCATTCACCTTTTTCCTCTTGCTGGATAGCCTCCTCCCCGAGCCCCCCACCCACCTTCTCCTTTTTCCCATCTCAGCCCAGAAACAGTTCATTACAAACAATATCCTCAAGTAAACATGCTTCATTAAACTGCGTCTACCCCTAATATCTTTTTAATGCATTTTTATAATTGAATTAAATGGGTTAGTGCAGTGCTGTAAATAGTTTAAAGTTAGTTTTCCAGTTTTTCTTTTCTGTTGTATCTAAAGAAAGACTCATACACACAGCCAATACCGATACTGACCATCTGTCTCATGCCTTCACTTTTTCTTCATGAATATCTGTATTTGCTGGGCTCATTTCTTCCCCGTATTTTCTTTTCCCTTCACATCCTCATCTCTCAAAATTGCACCCTCCTCAGCCTATTCTGCAGCATTAATTTCCAAAATTGATTTGTTACATACGTTTCAGACAGTACTGCACAAAAGGCCACACGGGCGTCGTTACGACATAGATACTACGATCACTCACGATGATATGAGACCAGTGCTGGTTACAGTATAGACTTACCTTTTTATTTTCTGCTCTCCGTCTATAATTTAGCTTCACCTTTGTTAAAGAGACATCAGGTGAAAATAATTTAGCATAAGAACTACTCAATCCATTAAGACAGTTCTAAAGGAGAGCGACTGGGAAAAGAATTAAGAAGGAAAGACTTGACAAAAATATCTTGGCCTCTGGTGAATCAATTTTGACCTTTTGAATTCCCCCTAAATTCATGGAAGTGAAATACTGAAGTGTGGGAATGCCCTTTTAAAACAGAAAGAGCCCACAGACACCAGCAGCACCAGTTTCAGCTTATAGGTGAGCGTCAGGCTTCACACATTAATATTCACAATGCTCTACGCATGTTTTGCCTTCCACTAATTAATTATGTTTACAGTCTTTAATTTACCTTGTGAAACAGAGCGAGGGCGATCTAAACACAGTGATTAATAGCGTTCATTTCATCTGTCTACCTATGTTTCTGTCTGTCTGTGCATCAGCACAACAATCACGCTCACAGTGGTCTTCTGTAAAGTAGTGGGTTTATTTCCTTTTGTCCCATTGGCTTTCCCTGTGGATATCACCATGACAACCCACCTAAAATGAGGCGAAGGTGTAATTTACGAAGTAATAATATTTTTTTGCAAAAAAAAAAACAAAAAAAAAACCAGTCGTGATTTACCCCTGCAATACATGATTAAATTGGCTCACATATCTTTCAAAATAATTTAGTGAATTCTGGTGGGGTTGAAAGGATTTGTATGTATCAGCGACAGAATAACAATTCCCACCCAGCTCAGCCACACGCTCTCGTCGAAGTTTTCCCGATGATTGTTGGAATTACGCGGGGCCGAACCGAAGAGCAGGGATTCAGTTTTAGAAATGCGATATTAGGGTGAAAGTTGCGACACACTCGCCTGTCCCTACGCTGCTCTTCCTGCACCATTGTTGGTTTGAAATGATTATCAACACTTAATCAGGAAATTCCCTATCCTGGGAGCTTTTTGGGAAGTTTGTTTAATTTAATTGACACAGTTTCACAGTGTACGGATGTTACTGTGTGAGTGATCATGTTTTGCAGATGTATAAGCAAACATAAGAAAAACTATCTCAAGTAGGTCGTGACGACCTTATGCAACAAAAATTAAACTTCAGTTATTTTCTCTTCCATTGCACTAATATGAAAGCTGCTTGTTCAGTGGCAAAAGTGGCAAACAAGCTTGAGAATTCCCGTTTCTGTCACAGACCCTGAAACCACACTAGTTTCTCCTCGATGCTTAAAATGTTCAAAGTACTTGAGATTTCTCAAGGGCAGCAAGAAAGGGCCTGTTATTGTACCACGTGAAATGAAAAGAGAAGGGTTTTAAAAGCTGTCACACCAAAGTCTGTGGAGAGAAATAATCAAGGTGTTTTGAAAATATAAAGGCTAGAAGTAAAAGCCTGCAGCATAATGTGAACCAGGACCTGCAAGGGCAGGACCCGGCTCCTCCCAGTGCTCTGGCACCACCTATTTGACCCATTTAGCCTTTTCTTGTAACCATAAAAGCCTGTTTTATAACTTCATTAAGATGGCAGGCTGCTATCTTGTTATTTTCCACGTTGTTCTCTTTTTTGTTCTCTATTTTCTGCTCCAGTGTCTTACTGACCAGCATTAGGGCAAGAAGATAAGAAGATAACTATCTAACAGGTAAATCCAATCAGGTAAACTATAAATCCTGTTATCATAAGCCCGGTCTTTAAAGGCACACACACTGTATCTCAGACTAATCGTTAGCCGTTCATTCTGCCCAGCGCCAGGTGCCTCTTTCTTAGTTGTCTTAAAAATAAAAAGAGAACACTGTTAGATGAGTAAACCATTTTTTCCCTTTTTGAATACTCGTTTGTGTCGGTTGTGTCCGTGGAAAAAGAATAGCACCCCGCTGCGTCGCCATGCTCCAGTCCCCTGATCACTTAATTTGGCATTTAGCTATGAGCCAGCCTTTGAAAACATTGGCCCATACCTAATTTGTTAACAGAGACAAATCAGTTGTTGCATAATTACTTTCTGAAATGCTAAGTTTTCATACTTTCCAATTTGCTTATTGTTGAAGCAAAACGGTAAAGGCTAAAGGGCTGGATTTTTAAAATTCCCTTTTATCTCGTGTGTCTAAACCAACCTCTGTTGGTTTTGTCTTTCTACCTCCTGTGTGATGTCATCCTGGTTGTTTGTTGCAGACTGGTTGTTTGTGGAATCTGGCTCCCCGCGGAGCCAGGCAGGCGTGGGGCCTGTGTACGAAGGCCCACCATGCTGTCATGTCTCTTTCATCGCCAGCCAGGCTTGGCCAATAAGGAGATAAGGAGACAATGACTGGGAGAGCAAGCAGTGGCAAGGTGTAACCACAGCCCCCGGGTCTCCTCCCTGCCGAGTACTTCAAATCCTCATTAGGATTTTCAGCAAAGGAAGGAGGGATTTTCTGGATTAGGGCTTTGTCACAGCTGGCTCCAGGTTGGTGTTTGTCATGCACAAGCATGGTGAAGCGCTGACATCTTGGCACTCTCCTTTCTCCCACCCAAACACTGATATTCCCTTCACCTGGCTACTGAGGCAGTTTAAGGATGTTCCACTAACCCAAAATCTATCACTGCTAACTCGTTGCCCTTGCTAAAGGTTTTTAACAGCTTCCTAGTAGCCTGCGCTCGTGGATTTGGACTGCCGCGTCAGCATTCTTCTTAATGGCTATTTATGCGGAGATAACCTTGGAAAGCATCATTAGTTTGTTGTTTGCTGTCACCATCCATAAGTCGTGCCCAGATCTGGGGCCGCGACACAGATGCGGCAGCTCAAACAGCAGATACGATGCCGTGTCAGTCATGGCGGAGATGCTAAAGTGTCTTTCATAAAGCATTTTGCCCCCAGATTTCTCACGCAAGGTTTCTATGGTCACTTTTTCTTTCTTTCTAAACCGAAGCAAAGAGTTTCCTGTTGCAAATACGGTTACTGCTTTAATTAAGCCACGAGTGTTCCAGTCCTGTGCTACAAAACAACAAGACTGTGTTTCCTCATGTGTTGCTCAACCTCTAACATGGTCTTTAATTGGGTTTCAGGCCTGTCTGAGAGAGTGGTTCAGCATGACAGAGCCTCAGACTTAGTGTGAAACCTACCTTGTCCCATC